TGAAAATTCTACCGATCACTGTAAACTTCTGACCTTAGTGTTATTTATTTATTTACCCATCACCGTAAACTCACATCTCAAATTTAGAATCCAACTCAACCGAATATGAAAACATTGGCCATCAAATTTCAAATAAACAATGATAAAATAAACATTGCTACATTGTCATGATTGAATGAATAATTCTTTTCTTAGATGATTTGGCTGGAGATCAAAACTGAAAGTCATCCTGTGTTAGACACCAAATTAGGGGGATTTCTGAACGGATTTGAACTTCTCTGCAGACTTTTTGGGTTAGTTTATTATACAGTTCCCTCTTAATTGTGCTAAACCTAGTTGCTGCTGAAGAGTTAATTGAAAAGCAGAAAGTAGAAGCTAAGTAATTATTGGCATGCACACATGGTAAGAAGCAGCTCTAGTGGCTGAAGTTGGAATCACCTGCAATTATCACACCATTGACACAGAAACGATGGCCTTATCTGGTAAGGCTAGCTAACAATGTGACTGCACAACTAAAATGCATTGCATTCATAGTGAATGCTTTCAGTTGGCAGAGAGTAGTAGCCATTTTCGAAGATGATGGCTATGGTGGTAGAGATTATGGCATGTTGTCACTCCTTTCTGAGGCCTTCTAAGACTTTGGTTCACTAATAAAGTGCCAATTAGCTCTTCCACCATTTTTCCTTACCTTGTGAGTCTGGAAAATGTAAGGTTTCTTTTAACACGAACATGTATAAAATTACAACACTTCCAACCCTCACAATGTGGGGGTAGGATTAGGGGTAGTCAACTTATACTTATTTCAATTGATCCGGTTTTATTTCAGTCACATTAAGATGAGTTTTGTTCCAACTCAAAAACAATTGGACGGGATAGAACATGGGATTATTCTTGACATGTCCCCTCTCCATCTCCTCCTGAATATTATATATATATATATATATATATTTTATTTTTTATTTTCAAAATATACATTAAATATATTAATTATATTAATATAATTTATAATTATATTAATTATATCAATTATAATTTAAATAAGTGCAGTTCTTATTTAAAACTAAGTTTTTTATATTGATAATTTTAATGATATAGAGTAAGCAGTACATGGTAATCTATTCCTATATATTAATACGATATAATTTATTTTTATATCTATCTATTTGATAATTTGTATTGTATTGTATTTCTTACTTTATTTTTAAAAGAGTAATTAGCTTAGCATATCTCAACTAAAAAAGAAGAATAATGACTTGATGTTATGCATGGCTTGTCTGTTATTGTTACTATTATAGCTTAGATGTAATTTATAATTGTTATCATAATGTGTTATACAATTGTAGTTGTGATTAATGTAATTCAGTAATTTACTTTAAATTGTTATGATTTATATACTTGTGTTGTTTTGATTTTAAACTTAATAAATTATGTAATTTAAAATTTTAATAAACGTTATTATTCAAACATTTTTTCTATATTATCCAATTTATTGAGATAGCAAAATATCCAAATTTTGTCCTTATTTTTAACAGGACAAGATAAAAATGTAGTCTTAATTTTTTTAAAAAATGAAACACAAGATAAAAATATCTTAATTTTATTCCATCTCATGAACACTCATAAGTAGGTGAGAAAAAAATGATGAAAGAAAGGTTTCTTTTGAGATTTACATATATTAAATTACAACATTTCTAAATGTGGGGGTGGGACCCACTTTTATACAGTGAATCTCACTTCATGATGTGAGAGAAACTTGATTAAGTCATTGTTATTCAATTAGGCCTGACAAAAGACACCTTTATTTCTACTTCTTTGAAAACGTTTGCTCATACCAAACAGGAATAACCATTCAAAGTCAAAGAAAAGAAGATCTTGTGGAGCCCAACAGAATCTTTGAGAATATACTTGACAGAAAATTATACCCGCAAATGGAATTTTGTAATGGGCCGCAAATGGAATTTTGTATAATTGAACTGGTCAAAAACATATCTTTGGAGATATCATTTGCAATTTTACCTATTCCATAAGATGGGTCCCACCCATGCCGTTGGGGATTCTGCATCTGTGCGTGCATGAGGGGGCCTGCGAGGGAATGGGACTCAGTTTTTAGCATTTCAGTTTAATCTTATTTACACGTTACTTTTAACATGTTTTTTTATATCAAGACAAACATTAAATTTTATTAAATTTATATAAAAATTTAATAAATTTTAAATTTTATTCCTTTTAAATATACATATTTTAATAATTTATTTTGTAAAATATTTAATAAAAAATAAAAGAAAAAATTTGTGATCAACATTTAATAATGTGACTTATAAATATGACTCAAAAATTTCTTTTCTTGTATTAGACTTTTTTTTTCTATTTATTTTATGAATAAGACTGGAGAGAGTAGTTCCAAAACTGCCTCCTCACCACTCATCACACATCATTCTTAAGAAAGTCCTCTAAAATTGAGTTTCTTATATTTTTGTAAAATTTTATTTTTCTATATCTTACCCATTAAAATCTTCTATTTATTTTTCACAAAACCTCATAAAATTCATTGATTTTCAATTTAAAAAAATCAGAATCCTAATTTTTTGGAACTTGCAAACCGCGTAAACAATGTTGTGGCATGAAGCAAAAAAGGAAAATTATACCTAGATCTTATAAAAAAGGTTTAATTATTAAATGGTTTCATAAAATTTATAAAATACTCTCATGTTTCAAATCTTATGTGTTTACAACTTGATAAAAGACATTTATAATTGAACAACAAACATTTACAATTTAAAAAAAATAAAATCTTGTAGTAAAAAGTTGTAATGTGCATTGCTCAATTATAAATGTTTTTTGTCAGCTTGAAAACACTCAAGATTTGAAATTTAAAAATATTTTTAAAATTTATAGACCTATTGGCAATGAAATCTTTTTTGTGAGATGTAGGTGTAATTTTCTCAAAAAAGTCTGGAAGAGACAAGCGAAACGCGTACAGGAGACACAAGATTCCACGCGGCGACCTTTTCTTCGAGATTCTTCACTACTTAATCATTGTGAGTAATACTTCTAATATTTCATTTTCAACTCAAACAAAAAAGTCACTACGACAACAAAAATGAGACGGTAATTTAATTTAAATTTTGAGCATTACAAAAAAACAATACAAGAAATGAAATTAATCTTAACCAATTCGGACGGGCTATAAATCCCATTTTTTTATTGAATTCTATTTTTATATTAAATGAATTAAGATAACTTATGAAAGTCATAGTTCAAGACTGAATTCTGTGTGACAAAGATATATACATAGAATAATTTGGCCAAAGAAAATAAAATAAACATGTCAGTAAAAAAAAAAATATAACAAGCAAGGGCTTGTTTAGCAACTAGTTTTCTGTTCTTAAAAAAAATCTGTTTAATAATTTGTTTTTAAAAAATAATTTAAAAAATAAAAAATTTAAATATTATTTTGGACAACAGAAAAATAAAAATATCTTTTAAGTATTTTGAAATTATTTTTTTAAAAAATAAAGAAAATATAAAAAAAATAGTTTTTTATTTTTTATTTTGTTCTTAGAACACATTATATAAAAGGTTAATTTTTAAAATAATAAATAAAAATAATTCTAAACAAATGCTTTCTATCTATAGGCACAATCTTTGTTTTACAGCCACATACAAAAGTGGTTTTTTCCTAGATTAAACAATAATTTCCCAATAATTAAGGCTAACGTATGTTGAATTTGCCTGTGTTAAATTTCGAGGTACTTTCCTTTTTTCTTTTTAAATGGTCGTTCACAGTTTCATACTAATAAAACAACTTTCTATTTTATTTTAAAAAATTGCATTTTTACAAATACAAGTTTAAAAGAAGAACTCATCTTAAAAAAATTAGCCAAATAAATAAAAAGCCTCATGAACTTATAAATCTTACTTTTTTTAATTTGCCCCACAAATTTCAATAAAAAAACATTTGATTAATCCATCCATTCACGAAATTAACTTTCCTGAAATGATCAAAAAGTGTTGGCAAAATGAGAAAAAGAAAAAGAAAAAGAAAAATATAAGATAGAAAATTAATCTATATATTTTTAATGTTCTTTCTCCAACAGGAGAAAGTTCCATGCATTTATAGTTTATGAATATTGCGGATCTCTGCATTTTTTACCCCTTTCTTTCAACGCAATATATTTTTTTGACCGATTTCAATACAAAATATTAAAAATACACGTTTAATTATCACTAATTCAACCACAATTAGACAATATATCATAAAACAATATTTTTTACAAATTTATTTATTTATTTATTTTTGCCAAAGGAATTTTACAAATTTAATTTAATAATGAATGCAATCTTAGATCCAATTCAATTTAAAACACTGGTCCCATGCCTGATCTGCATCTTTCCTTCACCACATAATTCTTTCTTTCATCAATTTGCTTCAATTACAAATAGACCACAGAAACAAACAAGCCTGCGTCATCCTCACTCAACTTACCAGTAAAAGTCTCAGAAGATCTTTAAAAATACTTGTGAATTCATTCTATAACAACTCAGCAAATCTTGTGTACACCATAAAATACCCACAGGTAAGACTCAGTAATCATCAATATTCAATATAAAATTTATCATAGGCTGCACTATCCATACCAACTTATTCCACAAGTTTCGTGTAATGCTGAGGCGCCATTTTGTTGAAATTTCATACGCAAAACCAAATTTTCTCTTCTCAATTTCAAGAAAAACAGCTTCACTGCTTCCCATTCACAATTTCTTTTTCTTATTCAACTCAGAATTCTTAGTATCCAAAAATGTCTGCAAATAATTTGTTTGCTAGCTAGCTCCTTTGTCATCAACTGCAAAGTCAGCAACTTGATAATTGACACAGTCAAAATTCCAAGTTCAATGCCTGCCCTAGAATCCCTGGATTTCTTTCTGTGAGTGCTAACTGTATTTATATATGCCATGATATAAAGCTAGCTTGTCCATAAACCAACTTTCCAAGTTTTTGTTTTCAGATTATTAGACAAAGATTCAGAATCTAAAATGAATATCTTTTTTACTATTCCTAAAGCACTTCCAAGATTTTGGCTATTCTTTCTTCTGCTCATCTCTTGTGTTCTCTTACAAGGCTATGGAGATGATGAGTCTGCAAAAGGAGACACTAAAGTTATACGTATTGGTGCAATTATTGATGTTAATTCTCGTATTGGTAAAGAACAGCAACTAGCCATGGAAATTGAAGCTCAAAACTACAATAAGACATCGAAGACTCACAAGCTGGCTCTCTATTTCCAGAACGCCACTAAGGAAGCCTTCAGAGTCACATCTCTCGGTAAGCAATCTCTAGCATTTGCAAAGAAAACTATTTCAGAAAAACCAACAACTACTCAAACTTTTAACTTGGTCTTTCAAGTATCGTTTCTAATAATTTGGTTCCTCACTCATTAAATTGCTTGGAATTTCTACCGATCACTGTAAACTTCTGACATCTGTTATTTGTTTACCCATCACTGTAAACTCACATCTCAAATTTGGAATCCAAATCAACAGAGTATGAAAACATTGGCCAGCAAATTTCAAACAATGATAAAATATCAGGGAAACATTGCTACAATGTAACAATTGAATGAATTATTTTTTTTTTAAGATGATTTGGTGGGAGATCAAATTGATGTGTTAGATACCAAATTAGGGGATTTCTGAACGGATTTGAACATCTTGCAGCTTTTGGTTTAGTTTATACGGTTCCCCCTTAACTGTGCTAAACCTGGTTGCAGCTGAAGAGTTAATTGAAATGAAGCAAGTAGAAGTAATTATAGGGATGCATACGTGGCAGGAAGCTGCTCTAGTGGCTGAAATTGGAAGTCAAGCTCAAGTTCCAATCATATCCTTTGCATCACCTGCAATTACCCCGCCATTGACACCGAAACGATGGCCTTATCTGGTAAGGCTAGCGAACAATGTGACTGCACAAGTAAAATGCATTGCAGGCATAGTGAATGCTTTCAGTTGGCAAAGAGTAGTAGTCGTATATGAAGATGACGGCTATGGTGGTGGAGACGACGGGATGTTATCACTCCTTTCTGAGGCCCTCCGAGACTTTGGTTCGCTAATAGAGTACCGTTTAGCTCTTCCACCAATATCTATTTTACCAGATCCAGGAGTGCTAATCAATGAGGAGCTGATTAAGTTGGTAAAGCAAAGTCAGTCTCGTGTTTTCATTGTTTTGCACTCATCCTTAGAAATGGTGACTCATTTTTTCAGAGAAAGTTCAAAGATGGGACTTGTGGATAGAGATTCAGCTTGGATAATCTCAGAGAGCATAACTAATTTGCTTGACTCTCTGGATAAGTCCGTTATTTCCTCCTATATGGGAGGGTCTTTAGGAATCAAGACACACTATTCAGAAAATAGCGGTGAGTATCAAGATTTTCGAGCTCAGTTCAGGAAAAAATTTCGTGCAAAAAATCCAGAGGAAGATAATAGTAACCCAGGATTTTATGCTTTGCAAGCATATGATAGCATCAAAGTTGTCATTCAAGCAGTAGAGAGAATGGAAAGGAACAATAGTAGCAGCACAGAGGCTTTGCTAAGAGAAATATTGTCTAGCAGTTTTCTAGGTCTAAGTGGGGAAATTCATTTTGAAGCAGGTCAGCTCTTGCAGAATCCTATCCTAAGGATGGTAAATGTAGTTGGGAAGAGTTATAAAGAAATAGACTTTTGGACTCAAGAAAATGGGTTCACCGCAAGCCTGCCTACAGGAAAAAGTGAAGAAAATGCTACTGCTAATACACAAAGTTTGGCCGGTGTAGTACAATGGCCAGGGAATTTGCAGAGAACTCCAAAAGGTTGGAATATGCCTATTAAGCGAAACCCATTGAAAATTGCAGTTCCAGGAAGAACTTCATTTTCAAAGTTTGTCAAGGTTGAATATGGAAAAAGTCCAGATCAGAATCAATACAGTGGATTCTGTATTGAGATTTTCAACAAGGTGCTAGAGCTTTTGGAATATGATCTACCCTATGAGTTTTATCCCCTCAATGTAACCTATCCTGATCTCGTTCAACTTGTGTACAACAAGGTAGCAATTCTTCTTCATTCAACCTTTTCTATCTTTTTCAGAAATAGAAAAGTAGAAGTTATATTACACATCATTTATCAGAGTGCTGTTAAAAACAATGACATCATTCTTCATGAATTTTAAGCAGCCAAATGTACGTTGTTTTCCTTCCTTAACTAGCAATCACTCCTTTCCCCATGGCACATGCTATAAGAAAACTCTGAATTCAATTCAAGACTTGACAGAATTAAATTTTTTTCAGGGAATCTAGTATTTTTGTTGAAGGGAACGTGATGGTCGTGACCAAGTTCAACTATGCCTTAGACTTCATTATTGTTTCCATTTCTAGAAGATAACAAACATCTTAACTTTGTTTTCTAAAGCATGATTCTCTCAATCTAGCCACCACTGAATATTTTTCTTCACAATCATTTTTGTCTTTACGTCGAAGCATGCACATGGGTGCGTGTGCATGTGCATGCTTGGCAGAGAAAACCTTCAATTTTTCATACAGGGCATTATGTCTTGTTAACTTCTGAATTTTATGTACCATTTTGGTTCTACCTCACCGAACTAAATTACTTCCTTTTTGTCTTATAATGGTGGTGGAAGACTTATGATGCAGTGGTTGGTGACATGACCCTACTAGCAGAGAGACTGCAATATGTGGATTTTACTGTGCCATATGCAGAATCAGGATTGTCCATGATAGTTCCAGTGAAGTCTGAAGACTCAACATGGATGTTTCTGAAGCCATTCACCTGGCAAATGTGGGCAGTTACTGGTGCAATCTTGATTTACACAATGTCAGTAGTTTGGTACCTTGAACAAGAACCTAATCCAGAGTTTCAAGGCAATTGGAAGAGACAATTTGGCACTGCTCTTTGGTTTACCTTCTCCTCCTTATTCTTTGCTCATAGTAAGCATTTTTGCTAAACTTCAATGAATAGCATTATTTGCTGCCATGAATAAGCTTAAGTGCATGTTAAAGTGTACTCATATGAGAAACCATCTAACACGTTAGATTGCACTTGGAGATTAAAAATCTTGAAAGATTTGGATCCCTTGCAAGACTATAAGTCAAACCCCCCCCCAAAAAAAAAATCTTTAATTCTTTGTTACAAGACCCAGGGCAATACTGCATGAGGATTCATTGCCAATTTTGTCATGTCTCATAGTCAGTATTATGTGCCCATAACAGCACTTCTTAGGCTAAAAAATGTCAATTGAACTGCTTTGATTAATCTCACAGGGGAGCAAATGCACGGCAACTTATCTCGTGTGGTGATGGGAGCATGGCTTCTTCTAGTTATGGTTCTGACCTCAAGCTACACAGCTAGCCTTTCTTCAATGCTAACAGTTCAACAACTGCAGCCAAATGTTACAAGCATCGAGTGGCTGAAGATGAACAACATGAAAATTGGCTGTGATGGTGACTCGTTTGTTAGAACATACCTCGAGAAAGTTGAAAGGTTCAGCCCAAAAAACATCATCAACATAAGTAGTGAGTACTATTATGATGGTGAATTCAAAAACAATTCAATAGCCGCAGCTTTTCTTGAACTCCCTTATGAGAAAGTGTACATAAGTACATACTGCAAGGTATATTCTGGCTCCACACCAACAACCAGATTTGGAGGACTAGGCTTTGTAAGTAATAATAGAACTCCATATCTTCAATAACTTCCTTTGTCTCAAAATTAGGAATAAGACTTGGAAGTGATATGTTTTCTGTCATGTAATAATAAACATTGTTCATCTACCTTTACACAGTTAAGTATTTAACTTGGATTTTCTTTATCAATCACATTATGCAGATGTTCCAAAAAGGATCCCCAGTGGCCAAAGATGTTTCAAAAGCAATATTGCAGCTTTCAGAGAAGGGAGAACTAACCAACTTGGAAGCAAAATGGTTGTATCACTCAAACGAGTGCACCAACAACTCAACCTCCAATGATACACAAAGTCTGAAGCTTGAAAATTTCTGGGTTCTCTTTGTCATTTCTGGGGTCACATCTACCATCTGTTTACTATTTTCTATCATTCAGTCGCAAGGATTTTGTCAGCTAACTCAAAATGGGTCTCGAGAAGGCAATGGACTCACAAGTGATATAACAGTTTGGATAAGAGCAGTTGAATTGGCTAAGCGAGTATATAGCAGAACGCTTATTCAGGAAACTCAGTTGTATGGGCACACAATCGGGGCACAACAAGATTTAACTAACTGCTCTTCCAGATGGGACTACGTCAGCACCACAGATTCAACTATGCATCAACAAGATACTGCATCCCCTGTATCAACAGTTATTGTGCTCTCTTCACCACCGCCAGAGACACCAATGGAAACCCCAGATAATAGATGACTTACCAGAAAGAACGTATATCTAACTATTATAGTCCTAGTTGGCTAGTTCATGATCTAATTATAGGAAATTAATTGTTAGGTTAAGGGTTATTTTTTCCCTTCAACTTTACTCGAAGGATCACTAGGCACTCGTAATTCAACAATGGGTCAATTCTATTCTTTGACATTAAAGATTCCCTTCTTCGTTATTCTGTCGTTAACTCGTCATCTATTCATCATTAGTGTGCCCTACATTACATTTTTTTAATATTTTTTTGTTATAAAATATTTGAGTTTGGGGTGCCCACTAACCCTTGTGGGTAAATTTGAGGGGCAAGAATGATCCTTAACTCAATATTTTATAATAAAATTTTTTTAAAAAAAAAGCAATCTGAGGCTCACTAATGGTGAAAAAAATGGCAAGTTAACGACAAGGTGATGAGGGAAGGAATTTTCAATATTGAGAGACAGAATAAATCCAAAGTTGAGTTCAAGATAATGTACAAGTTTGTACTTGAGTTAGAAGTTTTTTTATACCTGTGTAATTAAGTTCACTAGCACGCTTATTTCTGTGCTCTCCTAGTGACTTCTTCAATGACTAGTCTCTTGTTGAAATGCCCAATTAGGAGGTGTAAATAAATCAGAAAGAACAGTCCTGAATTTAATGACATCCATGAGCAGCTGCACAATCTCCTTTTGCCCTTACTGATTGTGGAAAACACCTGTTGGAATTTTCACTAGGATCACAGTTCTTTTTGTTACATCAAATCTTCCATTTGTTTATTTATATTTTACATTAGAAGCCACTATTCTTTACTAAAATTTCCTGGTTTTTGGGAGTAACTTTCCCGTAATTAGTCAGTGAGAGCTTACAGAGTACATAACCTTAAAAATTATAATGACAGCCTAGAGAAAATTCATCCGACCTTAGATCTACTTTGAAATTTTCTCTACTCTGGGAGATAGTGTAACAGTGAACTTGGTCCACAACGAATACAAACGTATCATAATCATTTATAATCAAAACTTCCTCTGACAAAAGAATTCCAAGACATCAACATCCCCTACTCTATGTTATCCAGATCGGTAAAATAAAATCTGATGCTTTCTACAATCAAGCAAATGAATCAAATTTACCGATATCCTCTCCCTCTCCCTCTCCTTCTTCCACCCCAGCCCCTGCCTCTACCCCGTGAACCACCACTTCTCCCACCACTGGGTAATCCTTGCAGTGATCTATTAACAAGTTGATTTTGTAAACCACCACCACCAACACCTCGGCCCTTCTTTGATGCAACATTGTTGGATCCCTTAGAGGGAGTAGCAGGCCGTTTTGCTCTGCAAGATGAATGGAAAATAACATAATTTCTCAATTTCAGTTATTTCTGCTGTTCTCATTCATATGAGATCTTTAATAAGTCTGACTTGGATCATATAAAGTTTCAGAGGTGTTGACAACCAAGTTCTTCACCAAACACAAGACAACTGTAGAGTTTTTCAAAACATTCAATTGTGGTTCTAAGCTACAAAAATATTTACTTGTCATTTTTTTTATTGAAAAATCTAATAGCAAATACCTAAAATTGCACGAAAGTTTAGTCAGTCTGACTTTGAAAGTAAACAGAGTTTAGAGTCATGGAAGCAGACACGTACAAAAGATGATGAGAAAAGTCACTCATAATATGTTATATTTACAAAAAAATAAAAATCATACCCAGCTGCCTCTGTTGAAGAAGATGCAGTTTTAGTTGCTTCTTTCCAAGAAAGGTTGATGCTCTCATCTCCAATAAAAGAAGGCGCCTTAGAGTGTAATGGCTAACCAGGTAAATTTGAAAGGAAGAAAAGGTAGAATAAAATATCAGCGAATAAAATACTTTACGCTTGAGCATATATTTTAAAGTCCTGCTAGGTTGCATCCATCTTACCTTTGTCATTACCAAAATGTTATTGCAGGTGCGCAACCCAGTTGTAGTGTTCTGCTTTTGTGTTTTCTGCAACATAGTGTGAAAAATGTAAGCATGGTGCACAATAAGAGAAGGTAAAGACAGAACTACCAAACAATAAGGCTCACAATTTTTTCCTTTGCTTCATCTGTTTTAGCAGCTGCCATTGATTCATTGTGCACAGCCATGACCTGATTTAACTTCCTCACGGTAGCCCGGGTTAACTCCTGAATGTTATTTAATCTAAGAAAAAAAATGACCAGAACAAAGAATGTTACACAAGCCCACAGTAAGAGTGTAGAGAAGGCACACAATTTTTGCAAAATCAATAATTCAACAACAGAATTGCTTAGTTGCAACTATTCAGAATTTTCACTTTCCCAAAGTTATTGCAAGTTTGTAACAAGATGAAGGACAAAATCAGTATTCGAGCATGAATCATTGCTAACAAGAACACAAGTGGCCAATTTTCGAGTGCAATCAGATTCTTATGATGCTAAGTTCGTTTAATGTGGTAGCTAAATCCATGTAATTCTATTCTTGCATCAGACCCGTATGTCTTGATGACTAGGAAAGCTTGCAATTCGACGACAAAGTGGTTCTTATAAGACTGTATTGCTAAGACAAAAGATATAGAATTGTCCCGCCAAAGATGTTAATAAGCTCACTCCCAGAGCATATACATCCTCTGGTGAGCATCTTCTTGAAGTAGCCAGTAAGACATCTAGTAAGCATCTGATGGGAACCCAAACTCTAGGAAGACAAGATTAGACACAGCAGGAAAACCCAAGCACTGTTATCTTTTTTGCCACCTTTGACCAATCACAGGGCTTACTTTTTACCGCTTGTTTTCCATGTTGTTGTCATCTATCATTCCCTTCATATTTTATGAGAAAAATAATACTAAAATAAAATAATTGCCTTTAAATATTCCAACCTTTTACTTGAGTATAATCCCTTGACTTGACAACTGTTACAAATTGATTTATATTAATATCATGCATGCTTCCCACAACTTCAATCAAAAAGTTAGCTGCGTGGAATGTATCCACAAGCATTATATTTCAGCCAGCCTTCTTCCCAATACAAATAGAATCACATAACTCTAAGGCCCTGTTTGGTACACAGGCTTCAATTTAAAGGGGTTAGGATTGGGGCTGGTATTGGGATTGGGATTGGGATTGAGAGTAGGAATGAGGTGTTAAAATTATGTTTGGTATGGAGTAATATTTAGAAGGAATACTTACCTATATTTTATTTTATAATTAAATATAAATCATAAAAAAAACCATAATGCCCTCAAATTAATAAAAAGAAAAAAGCTGTGACGTAGCTTCTGCTGCTCCTCCCCCAAAAATCACTCTCCTCCTCCTCCAGAAAGCACAACGGCGCATTTGCTCTCACTCTCCTTCTCCACCAGAAAGCACAACGGCACATCTATGATTACTATCCTTCTCCCCCAAAGAGCACAGCAGCACACATGGCCATTCCCTCTACTCTCTTTACCAAGCTCAATGTTCTTCTTCTTTGTCTTCTTACTGTTCCTTTTCTGGTTTTCATGTAGATAGACAGAGTGATAAAGGTCTGCTTACTAGTGAACGGCGACGCAAATGGCTTTCTGGTTTTCGATGCATGAAGGCCACTTATACATTGGTGATGTAGATCGATGAAGTGATGGAGATCGACAGAGTGAGACCTTCCTCTTCTCTCTTTTCGATCATCGGCGTGGGAACAAAGACGTCGTTCATTAGCCGTTATGCAATCGTTTGTCCATTGTTGCTCAACTCTTTCCTTGCGTCATCGTTGTTGATGTTCTTCATCCTGATTCAAGCATCAATATTGTGCCTGTGTGTCGTCGCCATCGCTGTCGCAGTCCTTGTTATGGCTGTGAGGTGGGGTGGAGGCTAAAGGGTAGAGGAAGGGACGAGAGATAGGGGGTGGAGGGTAGAGGGAGAGACGACAGAGGGGTGGGGGAAGGCATTTTGGCCAAAAAATAATCAATCCTAGGATTGATTTTCTAATACTAAGGGGGTGGGTAGTATTGAGTAATCCCACCTTGGAAGGATTGGTATTGGGATTAAATTTTTCATTCCTCCATACCAAACATGAAAAGGTAGGATTGCCTAATACCAGTCCCAATCCCACCCTTCCAATACTTTGAACCAAACATAGCCTAAGTCTATGGTATTCACCCAGCCCTCACTATTAAAAGAGCTGTTACTGTTACTATACCAAGCCTACTTATACTACAACAACAAGCAGCCTCATCTCACTAGATAAGATTGGTTACATAAATTGCACGACGCCATTTTGCTCTATCATTTATCAAGCTTTTATTAATGTTATTAACTAAGAAGTCTCGGTCAACAACTTCCAAGCCTACAAATACTCTAGTAAAAAAGACAAGGCATAGAAATAACAGAAACCTCATCTGCCCGGGGCGGGGGGGGGGGGAAGATATCCAGTAACCACACGGCAGAATACTATAAACAGACAATAGAAACAGCAGAATACTATAAACAGACAATAGAAACAGCAAGCATAAATAATTGAGAAAACACGCTGATTAGGGGCACAGTATAGGAAATGATACGTTGACTCCTCTAAATCATATAGATCAACAGACATACCAAACTGAATATTAATAATGGAGTCTAATCAACCCAAGAGTTTACAATCAAGCCATACTGATACTGACACTTCAAGCAAATTTGATGCTACCCCAGGATACAGAAAGGTAAAAGAATATTTGATAGGAATTACGGAAAATATTACTCTAGAAAGAATAAGTTGCTTTTGTGTGGCTTTTGTTATTCAAATACTTTTTTGTAAGCTTTCTCAGTGAGAAGGAAACCTGCAACTGGGATTTTTTTTTTTCCTATTATTATAACAGCAAGTGGGTAGGAGGTTTCCTTAAAGGAAAGGAAACCTTGAGCTTATAAATAGGTTGCTTTCATGTACTTTGAATCGGATTTGATGAATGAAATGTTTCGCAGTGATGTTCTGAAAGTTTCTCCTCCAGTCCCTTCGTTCTGTCTCTTTCTCCACCCCCCTTCCCTACTCTATTCTTCGTTTCTCTTTTCTCCAATTCTCCCTTCTCTGTTTCTGTTTTTCTCTCTACTCTTCCTCAGTTTGAATCTGTGGCAGTGTGTGTGTGTGTTGCATCAATATTGAGTATCAACCGAACATTACCAAAAGATAGCCTAATTTTCCGTAGTCCAGTTTTTCTTTTTCTTTCTTTGTTTTTTTTTTTTGGGTTCTTGCCATGCTCTAGTGGTTGGGGGTTTGATTTGGATTTTTTGGGCAACCTCAGTTAGTAGGATAAGGCTTATTGTTGTTCTAGTTACTCAGTTTAAGACAATCATAGTTGAACCTTTCAAATAGAATTTCAGTTCAATCACTCTGCTCCAAAGATACTAGTTTAGAGTGGGACCAAATTGGTAATTCTCCCAAGGAAGAAGCTAATATATGAAGCTGCATTGAAGTATGAATCATTTACCAGCTCTCACCCTCTTCACAACCCAACTAATTAACTAAAAGTTTTTAACTCTGCTTAGCTCCATAAACTGACAACAATTTCCCCTAAAATAATAATGTTAACCAAGAATGAATCGTTTTCATAATGCAAAATTAAAAGATAGGTTGGTTATGTATTATGTACAGTTTTTATAAGAAAGATAATACCTCTCAGTAAAATCCTGATAATGCTCTGAAAAGTCCTCTCCAAGCCTATCAGATGGCTGGCCAGTAACAATCTTGTAACCACATAAACTATTTGTGGCATTAGGAACCTACATAATAGCTGAAATCAATTAACAATACCTCAGCAGTAACTTACTCAACGGTGTAACATTTCTGCAAGGCTGATACAATTACCTTGTGAGCTAGGTGATGAAATGTGTATAACAAGCACTCAACATAAGTGAAGTTCATCTCTTCTCCAGTCTTCCTCCAAGACATGTATTTCTGACAGAATGAATGAAAAACGATTTTAGAAGATGAAGAGATCAAGGAAATAGGCAATGTTAAATCACCATACATGATTATGATGTTGAAAATAATAAGCTAGAACAGACAATTATCAAACTTATATATAAATTTATAAAAGATAGAGTTCTACGCTCAAATTTATATGATACAATGGCCCATAAAAGTTGCCAAAAATTGTGTGAAACTTAAGCTAGCCATCTCTTTTAGCACATCAAAGATGTGCTGGGATATTTAGCAGAACATAAACCAGAAAACATAATATTAATTTTAGCAGGAAGCATGGTTAAGATGTAGTACATTATTGATTATTCATATAAACTATTTATTGATATTGCATTTTCAACATACTTTTAGCAACTGAACAATAGAAGGAAGAATTTGGCGTGAATCTTGTGGTGTAGTGTAAGGTGAAAATTCTGCAAGGTCTTTAAGTAGATCTACTTTTCGTTCTTCAGGAAGCTGAAAAGAGAGGGGGGGAAAATCATTATGTAAGTCTCCCCATATGGAAATAAAAATCTCAGTTGAAAGATTTCCACAAACAAACTCCACTCAGGTGTCACTACTAATTAGGAACCAGCTTCAACTAACCCCAAAGTACTATAACATTTGGTAAGCTGCCTAGTTGAAATATCAAAATATATTTTCTTATTATAATTTTTACCAGAATAACGCAAGCAACTAAAAATCACAAAGCTGACCACTCTTTAGAAATAAAATAACATGAAGACAGAGTAAGTTCAGAAGGGATTAAGTTTTCTGAACTGTTCTTCCTCCATATTAAAAAAAAAAAAATTCAAGACGTTTACAATTCCTATCAATTTGACAATCACTATAGCATAAAGATGAGCAGAGTTGCATCAAGGTTGGTAAACAGTACATTTAGTTTAAGAAAGTTAACAATCAAAAGGTTCATGGAATAAGTAGAAAATAAAAGATTTGTTAACCTACAAGGAGAAAATTATGCCATGCATTATTTCATATATTAAACCAACAGGCAGCTAGAATTTTGTTGAAGGTCTTGAATGTAATAATTAAAAACACAGAATCTCAGTGTTATAATTCACGTATCAAAATCAGAATATTTGTTTTCTAAATTGCCTTTGTTCCCATTCCCTGAATACAAGATATTATTATATCAATAGTATCAAAATATAACTCCAATTTTGTATAAAAGAAGCGCAAATGAAAGAAATAAGACCTTTGTACACCCTAACAAGGGAGATTAAATAAACAAGCTCAGAAAATCAAGCACCTGCCCTTTTCTTTTGATGTAAGGTCCAAAGAAAGCAAAAGCCCTGCCCCCTTGGGGGTGTGGGGGGCCAATTCTTTTTAGGAGGGAAATGTCCTTTAAAATGTCTGATCAAAAAGCACCGGTTCTATGTATTGAAATTTTGTATCGCCCATATTTGACTAAACACAAGCCCCCAGAAACTTTAAGTGATTATGTTAGATAGTGGTAGAAAGAATAGGGAGAGAAGGGTGGGGGGAGAAATAATACTTCTGAGATTACTCCAAAAACATAATTCTTGATTTACAAACTCCCCCACTTTATATAGTTGCTGACTTACTAACTCCCTGTACCACTAACAGTTACTGACTAATAACTGCCCTCTTCTATTAATTACAATTTACACATCAGATTACAAATACAAATTTTAATCTAACATAGTGGCCAAGTCAAGTATTATGCAACAAATAAGGATTTGCATATTTTCCAATATCATATCATTGCATTATCGTAAACAAAAAAAAATTAATTAAAGAAAAAAAACAATAGCAAAAGAAACAGGATTCTCTATCGCTAAAGTATATTGCAGGAATAAAGCATGTTACTGAATACAGAAAGGTCAGAGCTTTAGTGAAACCACACATATGTCAACCAATGTTATGAAAACAAGACCAGTCATTGAACCAGTTGAAGTACCGGTTCACGGTTCAATGGTCGGATAGCGGTCTAAACCGGGGTCCAAAAGGTCATAAATAAATTGATATATTTTAAATATTATATATTTAAAGTAGAAAGAAATAATCATATATAGTAAGAAAAATGAATATGTAAATTTCAAACAAGATAATTTGTAATTTATAACATCATTTTCATCCAAAATATATATATAATTGTTCATAATTTATAATTTATAACTTTAAAATATATACATATATACATAATTCATACATATTTCTTGCATCTTTTCATTTCATCATGCTTATTGGGTATAAATATGTATAAATTATATTTTAGAAATATGAATTAAAAAATAAAAAAAATAAAAAAGAAACATGGCTGGTTCAACCGGTTCACGAGCGGTTTGTAGGAAAAGCAGTTTTTAGGTGTAACCGAAAACCAGTTGGACCAGTTTTGATAACAGTTGTCAACTACCAACCTCCACATAACTAGTGTCAAGATTAGCATTCCAATGTTATTGAAATGTTAGATTATATTAAATTTATCATGCAAAAGGCTGTAATATCTCCATAATTAGTAGATTTTATTGATTTGTCTTGTCCTATGGAACCTATCTAATTACACATTTAGGTTATCTATTTTTTCTTTTCTTTTTCTCAGCAATATGCTTTTTCTAAGATTGATAATCAATGTCAACATTACAATTGCCTCTAATTCCATGGTCAGATCAATGCAAATCACTTCCTACAATAATATATTCAAGGGTACATGTATTTCAATTCTTGCATCGGTGTCAATCCCCCTCCTCATATATATTGGTCCCAGAAACAATACATTGAATTACATGTTTGTTCTTTGAAACTAAAAGTTCAAAGGTATTACCTGGTCAAAAACAGGAATGATGAACTTGTTTACATAGGTAAGAAATTTGCTGCTAGATGCACCCCTCTGAGAATTTCAGCCGTTTTCAGAAAACTCAAGGGGAAACCAAATAGGTAAGATGAAAATTAAACACTCCTTACCACAACAAATGGAAGTGCCATGTGAAGGCATGATATCAATCTGTCAATATGATCAGCATCTAAAGCCTGCAATTGTTCATTAAGGAAACATAAGAATGAGACAAAAACATAATAGTTGCATGGGATGAACTTCTATGTGCTATCATTATATTTCCAAAATGAAGACAAATTTATCTTACTTTCATAATTGAATCCCATGCACATGCCCAATTCCACATCCTTCACACTTTCAGCATGAAGCCTAACAAGTAAAAATTACTGCCTACTTGATGCAAGATTAGGATAGTTTCCCGATGACATTTTTAAGGATTAGAGAAAGAGAGAGGAAAGAAGAGAAATGAGACCTGATGGAAAAATAAATTTACTCAACAACAAAGAGAAAAATGCAGTCATCATTACCAAAACCAATGTAAGTCAGACTAGTATTTCAAAAAGCAGCATTGTGATGAGAAAATCTAAAATAATCATCACAAAAGAGACTCTCAACAGTGTAAATCAAAATGCTAAACCCATTTTACTTTTTGCAATGATTAAACCCTAAAATATGAATAACTCCCCAGAAACTTATTTTACATATAAAATGAGCTTGTTTAACAAAAGGGGACACTTACATTGAATTGTGCATCTAAATCAGCTTGCCCCTCAACAATTCCAATCAGTTCTTTCATTCGCTCAGGTGGAGCTTTTTCTCCAAACAGGCTCAAACTCTTCAAGAAATCCATAAACATTCGAAATTCTGTGCCAGATACATCTTCTAAACTCTACAATGGAATTCAACAACAATAATGAACTTTCTATAACGTTAAAAAATAAATAAATACTAACTAATTAGACTGTGGGCCCATGTTTTGCACAAAATCTAACGTGAGTTATATTGACCATGGTTTCCAAATAGAAGTGACTTACTTTTAATTTGATATGATATATTTTAAACACAAAATTATACCGATAATACTATTCAGTTAGCCAAATACTGATACCTTTTTTATCAGATCAGTTATGTGTCTTTCCATTTCCTCCTGGGGCTTCAACAGTTCGGATTTAATAGGAAAAACCTGAAACAATGATAATTAGTATTCCTTTCTACTCAAAAGATGAAATGAAAAAGGGTCCAATAGAATCATTCATTTGGCTTTTCACCTTATCTCTAACAAAGTTTATAACTTTTTCACGAATAACATCATCTGTACTTAGCTCTTCAACGCTCCCAATGTGCTTGAACAAGGTTGTCAAGGAAGCTGCATGACCATCTATTCCATAAGACAGCTAAAGATGCCAGTGTAATCACATATGTTCAGAATTTTTAAAAATATGAAGCAACTTTTGCTAATAAAATATATATATATATATATTAAGCATTCGATTCATTTTTGTAGAAATTTTAGAAATGACATGTTGCATAAGCTCACCATCATATTGATAAGTTGATTCATAATAGCTCTCATATTTATCACATACATTTCTGATTATTTATGCACGTGTAAATCATGTATTGTGCATCTGTATTGGTCTGTAGTTTTCTAACAAAGTAATTAAGGTATAACTGGTTTATGATTTGAAGTAAATATCTAGCAACAAGGTATTGCAAACAAACAAGTAAAAAATCTGTACAAATTTATTCCAGAGATTCTTTATGGAAAACCTACAAGCTGATTTTTTATGAAATTACTATGATAGTGTGTTAATATGGATTCAGATAAGGGCCCTTCAGGAATTTAAACCAAGAGATGATAACCAAGTCAGAAAAGTTATTGTAATCCTAACCATAAAATCCTAGCTGGAATGATACGTCCAAGATTAGCTTCAATTCTAACTACCATATTATTCCATTAAGAGTATTCTTGCTTAACATAGAAGAGTATAAAAATACCTTTAACATCTTGCCTCAGTAAAGACATAAGAGCCTTGTGTACAGCATCCCGCTCCACAAATTCCTCTAAGAGCACCAAGTGAAAAAGATCAGAATCATAGCAGATGATCAAGTTCTGATGAACAAAAAACTTCATCAATCATCAATTACCAGATCCAAGAATTTGCACAAGAATATCAACTATCTTCCCTATATTATCTGGTGTATCTGAGCAGAAAAGGGGTAATCCTCTTATTGCTTGCACCCGGACCTGTATATCAGGAAAAGAACACAAAAGAAAGAAAATAAGTAACAGCAGATACTGAATTGACCAATGATCCACAGGGCGAAGAAAATGGTTAATGCAATACTCTTAAACAATCATTTTATTTTCAACCTGTCATAACAAAGCCTACACATATACATTGTCTTGCTTCAATTATTCAAAGAGAGACAAGGCACTGAATTTATATTTAGTAAGTGGTATAAAAGTAATGATGTCATGGCATAACAAAACTACTAAAAGAAGCTGTTTTTACCAAAGGGTAACTTGATTTCTTTCCTTCAGTATAACGCTTCTTCACTGCCAAGTAGGAAGCTATAAATATTACTATGACATATGCTTGTGTTTCGTGCGAATAGGGTACTTACCCAAGCTCTTCTTCCTCAACCAAATCAAGATGGGCATAAAGGGCAGGACCAGAAAGGTCAGGGAAGAACTTGAAGAACCTGGGAATGAGTTGAGCAGCCAGCTGCTTCGCCTTATTACTAGTCTTGGCGGCATCAATAATTCCCTGGTAGTCCTTCACATTCTGTAAAATCCCACTACACATGAAATCCGGAAAAAAAAAAAAACACAACTAAAAACTCCATTTACGAACTAAAACCCTAGAGCAAATAAAAACAATCCCTAAATGATTGAATTCAAGCGCGTTAAAACAAAAATGGAGGACCTGAGACTTGTCTTTGGCATTATTGAGTTGCTCGCCGTATTCATAGAGTCTCTCGATGAAAGCAGCCTCATCAGAAGGCTCAGTCATTGGGGTATCAAAAGCTGATTGAAACTGAATAACAATTAGTATAAAATCAGCATGAAGAAATGAAAATAAAAGGGCTTTTGCTGGGAGTTCCTACGTGGAGTGAAGCAGGGTGCTTGAACTCGGTACTGACTGAGTAGTTAAAATGACGCAGGAGAAAAAGAACAAAAAGGAGTGCAGCAAAGAGAGTACCTGAAGAGCTTGAAGTTAGTGTGGGCAATGAGGAAGGAACACGAAGACGAAGGTAATGGGAGATTGACTGATCAACAGTTCAAAACTCGAATCAGGAAGACTTTACCAAAGGCTGTGAACTAAGAACCTTGGGCCTTCTCATCATTTTGCATGAAATTTTCCGCGTCATTGTATTTTTAAAAAAAGAAAAAACAAGAAGAAGAAGAAGAAACTTGGGCCTTGTTTGGTATGTATTTAAAACAACAGTTTTTCATTTAAAAAATTAAAAAATTTGTTTGAAGAAGTGTTTTGATTTTAATTATTTTCAAAAATATTCTATTTAAAAAATAAAAATATTTTATTTTTTTATTTTCAAAAATACATTATATTTGATTATTGATGCAAACTACAATCGTATTGACTAATTATTATCATAAACCACCAACATTAATTATTAGCAACCATCTCTGTGAATTTTTAATTATAAAATTAATTTTTGAATTAACACAATTAAACGCATTTTTTTATTTTTTTTGAAAATAAATTTTAAAAACTATATTTCAAAATAATTTTAAAAAACAAAAAATGAAAATAAAAACCAAATAGGCCCTTGGTTTCTATTTTCAAAAATAGTTTTTGGTTTTTCAAAAAAAAAATTAAAAAGTTGTTTGGAAAATTGTTTTGAATCTAATTGTTTTTAAAACTGTTCTTATTTTTTATTTAAACAAAAAGAAGCATCATAAAGATGTTTTTATTTTATTTTTCTTATTTTCAAAATATATTACATTTAATTATTAAAACTATAGTCCATGTGACTAATGATTATAATAAGTCGTCGTCATTAACTATCAATGACCATTACTATTGATCAATTTTTAAATTTTAAAAATGTTTTCAAATTAACACAACCAAACATATATTCTCTTTGTTTTGTCTTGAAAAAAAATTTTAAAAATTGTATTACAAAATAGTTTTTAAAAAGGTTAAGGTATAATTTTGTTCTTAAACTATTTTTAGAAGAACAGTGTTGTCTCTAAACTACTCATCATAGTAATGTTGCCCCTAAACTAATTAAATCAGAGCAATGTTGCTCCCATCATTTAAAACATTTATTAGTAGGACCCATTTTTCATGGGTTAAGATGCAATTTTACTCCTAAAATATTCTCAAATGAGTAATATTGGCCTCGTTGTTTAAAAATCATAAACATTCATTAATTGAAGCTAATGGGACCCACTTTTCCTTATCTCTTTATAATTATCGTTGAATCAAGTTAATATTTCAACTAAACTGTTAAGATTATCTCTCTCTAGTTATAATGCATATGAGAGAGTGTATTTATTTATAATAGTCAATTTTATAGGCTGATCCACTCAAGATAATAAAAAGTGACCTTTTATCCTGAAAATGTTGTTTGTATGTTTTTTGTTGGATCAAGAGTTCCTCTTTTAGTGTTATCAATGTGAATTTATACTTCAACTATTTTCATATTTGACATTGAAAAAAATTAGTACAAAAAATGAGCTTCTTCTCAATGTACAGTTCATGATGCGTTGGAATGTTGTTGGAGAATATCATGATAAAGATAAATGCTTTCACATAAATATTGGATGTTAGAAAGGATATGAATGGAATGGCATTAGTACAAAAAGTAATTTTCATTATCTCTCTTTAGTTAATGAACATTTATGATTTTTAAATGGCATGGGCAACATTGCTCTAATTTAATTAGTTTAGGAGTGACACTGCTCCTTTGAGAATAGTTTAGAGGTAAAATTATTCATTAACCCATGAAAAGTGGGTCACATTAACGAACATTTATGATTTTTAAATAGTGAGAGCAACATTTCTCTGATTTAATTAGTTTAGGGGCAACATTACTATAATAAGTAGTTTAAGGGCAACATTACTCTTTTGAAAATAGTTTAGGGGCAAAATTACACCTTAATCCTTTTAAAAACAAAAAAATGAGAACAGAAACCTTAAATCGCATATTCTAAAGTTTGATTATTGAAGGTATATATGGACAATATTGCTTGAAAGAAGACAACCCCTTAAATAGCATTCGGATTTCTTATGGTAACTAGTTGTGGGGATATTAAAACACATCTCCAAACAAGTTTTTTAATTTTTCATTTTTAAAAACAAAAAATTGTTTTGTAAATAGAAAACAAGCATGCCTTTAACCTCTTAATCCTTATAGTTTCACTCGAATTAAGTCCTATAGTTTAAAATTTTTAAATCAAATCCCTGCAAATTTAAACATTTGAGGCGTTTGTCTTTATGATCTTTTGTGACATTAATTAACACTTCTTATTTATTGTTGATATGACTAATAGTTAACAAATGTATCAAATTCATAGACAAAATGATCATACTACCTTAGAATGCAGTACTATGAGCATGGGGAAGACCATACTGGGTAGCAAGGACTCACCTTCAGCAGATAAAGGCCCCTTATTATAGAATAAAGTAAAGGATTGAGAACTCAAGTAAGAAACCCACCTTATTGAGTTATGCTCCCTACTGATAGAAGTTTCTCCTTCCTATTGATAGAAAAAGCAAGCACTCCAATAAGCAGACCCTACAAGAGTGCTTGTTTGGTAAAGGTTTTCTGTAGTAGTGACGATGTTACATAACTCTTGCATATCCGTTCTTATGTACTTAAGAAATCGAATACCTTAGCCGACTACTTAAATGAGTTCATCATTTTTTCCTTTATTTTTATTGAGAGAGATAGATAGAGTATAAACAGAGACATATATTATTCCTTTGATCAGACTTTGTCAATCTCTTTCACATGGTGAACAACTTGAAGGGGTTGAAGTTTAGATGATATTCAATTTCTATACACATTACTGCTTAGGGCATGTTTTCCTTTTAATATACAAAATGTTTTGGGACTTTCATATTCCTCTATCTTTGACATATTCCTCTATATGACCTTTACAACTTGTATGAGCATTCCAAAATGTCAACTATCACTTACAAAAAAATGCTAACACTTATTAAAAGGCTATGCAGAGAGGGTCTTTTGGTTGCAATAACTACCATTAGTAATAAGATGATCTCCATATCTAATAAGTTTAATTCTACTAAGTATGATCATTAAAATATATAATCACTTAATTAGAAAATGTCCATTTTGCATTTTATACTTAATATTAAACAAGTTGATAACAAAACTTTTAAAATAAAACTAACATATATACTATTATCAACTGTCAAATATTTGTTATTGAAAATTTAGAATAAAATAAAAAACCACCCAATCTCAGCTTCATCAAAAGTTCTCTCCTCTTCTTCTCCATGTCATCGTACAACTCCAAATCATGTGTTCTCTCTCACTTCACTTTTGATTGTGATTTCTCTCTTCTTCTCGCTTGCCATTAGACCACTTCATCGTTAATCTCGAGCTCATTGTCCTTTGTGACTTTAGCTCGATCTTGCTATTACCATTTTGCAAGCTACCATCTATAACAAAATTTCACTACAAAAAACAGAATTTAGCAACAAAATAAATTTCCATCACAAATCCATCATTAATTCTGTCACTAATTTACTGACAGAACATTCTGTTACTAAAAAATCAATTGCTATTTCATTGATAAACCATCAGAAATAATTTTACTAATGAAATTTAGCGACGAAATGTTCCATCACTAAAATTTTGTTACTATTTGGTCGTTAAGCCATCAGAAATAATTTAGTGATGGAATTTTTTGATGGAAAAGTCCATTGCTATTTTTCAAGATATGTTATTCATATTTTTTGACAACATGTGCAACGGAAAATTCTATCAAAAATTGTTTTAAATTTTATTATATGATTTATAATATATATTTATATATAATTTATTTAATAATTTATTATTATGCTATAAATAAATAATTTAATAAGTATAATTTATTATTTTAAATTATTTAGATATTAATAATAATTATAATAATTTAAATTATATATTTAATATTTTTTTGATAACATAGTAACAGACCTAATTATTGTTATTTAAAAATAAAACTTTAAAAAATAATTTTAAAATATAAATATTATAAAATTATAATATAATATATAGTGATAATAAAATATTTGATCATTTTATTATTAAATTTTCTATCAAAAACAATTTTTTAAAAATATAATATAATATAACTAAGTATTATATAAAAATTAATTTATTTTATTGATACATATGTACGGGCAATTAAATATTACATATTTAATTTATCAATTACATACTAAAGATCTCCTTAAGCTCAACTGGCGATAAGGCTGGACATAAAGATTTACGAAGGTGTGAAGTTATGGGTTTGAACTTGGTAAGGCACATTTGAAGTTAATATATGATGTGGAGATGACATGGCAGGGAGGTGGCGATGAGGTAGCAGTAACATGGTGATGAGGTGGTACTAGCCCATTATGTGACATGGCAATGATATTTTTATGGAATTTTCATTTGCAACGGATTAGTGACAAAATGCATTCCATCAAAGAATTGGAATAGATTATCCTTATTTAGGGATGAAAATTTTCTGTCACTAACAATTCCGTCGCTAATTTTATGGCTAATTAGCAATAAAATTTTTCGTTGCTAATGAATTAGTGACGATGTTTTTACTGACAAACTTATTTTGTCACTAATTTCATCGAACCCATTTAGCAACGGAATTTGTATTGATTAGCCAAGAAATTTTTCGTCACTAGTCCATTATTTTTTGCAGTGTCTATGGTTTGGTGGCTAAATTGATCAATAAGTATTTTTCATCGATCTATATATTTTAGTGCCCAAAATATTTTGCGGCTACCTGTGTTACCCAAGCCTTTCCATCTGAATAATGTATAGGCATGTGAGTAAGGGATATTTTGCTATTCACTAACTTTATAATTAACTTGAATTATATTATAAAGGAAGATAGTGATATTTGAAATTTCTATATGCTGTGTTTGTGGTAGTGAAATTTGTCTTCTTACCAAGTCATTTTTTATGTTTTAATGAAGAATGTTAAACATGCTTATCCATCTCTCATGCTTGCTGTTAGAGAATTCTTAAACAAATAACAAAGATTAACACACTTGAAGCCTTTATGTAACATCCCAAAATTAATTTTAAGATTAAA